AGCGTAGGTCTCACCTCTCTTCGTTTTCGTCCATCTTCGGTGCCAAAACTAAGTTAAGACTACTTGAGATTAGGTTTGGCGCATTATTTGACCAGGTATTCCACGCTCCCTTTACGCAAATCTAACTGTTAGGTTTACTTCCAACCGCTTCCGACTTCAACTTGTCTAAAATTGTTGCTGCAAAATCCGTGTTAAAAACGGGTCCTTAGTCCTAGTTACTACGGGCCAAGTAGTCACCCAACTGAATATTGTCCAAGCAGTGGGGCCCAGTACATAAGTATCAACAGGGCGAGGGGAGCCCTTGCCGGTGATTTTCAATTTTTCTAGCCGTCAGTCAACCGCATCCCACCCTCAACTTAGGATACTTCAGGATTCGAGTCCGGAAGGTTTGATCGATAAAATTTAGGTCTGGTTTTCTACCATTAAGCCAAATGGCCATTACTCTGTCAGTTGTCCTCGGCTATTATCAGTTAGCGAGGTTGTGTCGTCCATTGTTCTCGCTAGATACTCGTCACTTTTTCCCTGGAGCTCAATGTGGTTTCCTCGCAGGCAGTCTCATAACGACTAGTAACAGGATAAATATCGATAAGGGATGCTGATGGGTAAGTCATTGCAAAGCAGGGTGTCTCAAGTTCGGTTCCACCCTTTTCCTCCTTGAATGCAACAAGAAGACCACGTGAATTCGACCGCTGCCGATAATACTTAGAGTTGGTAATCGGAGATTTTGCTTTGCTAACACGCACTTATCCGTTCCTGTGCACAAAGGACTAGCACGCTTGATAGAGCAAGAGACTTATTTTTGGGCCGTTTTTCACATCGCTACACAAGTTGGAAGCCTGAGCATCTCTATGCTGTTTTTTCGTTGACAGTTCCCATTCCATAATTGAATAACGACTCGTCGCCAGATGTAGTGGTTTGCGCGTCTCTTGTCCGCCCGACTCGTCTCCATCAAACCTGTACCTTAGGCGAACTCGTTATAGCTGAAGTCAAAAAAGTGCGTAGATAGAATAATAGTATTACTGTCCCCTGGTCGGGCTGCTGGTACGGAAAATTGCCGCCTGTAATCGTACCACATTTCGCAGAAGCCAGTGAACGCGTGGATCTGCTCGATTGGGTACCGTAAGGACTTATTGTAGGTTGAG